TCTTCGTTCGCAGGCTAATTGTGATACAAACTCGACGATGGCCTGCAATTTAAAATCAAAATAATTCAGTGTTCTTCTATCATTTGTTTTCTCCCGTTTATAGAATGCAAGTGTATTCTTATTATATTTGATAAAAAGTCAGAACACATTTTCATTGGTCATCAGAGGTCAAGTGCATAATCTTGGACACTCAGCATGTTGTTGCTTGTGGCCGTGCTCAATCACATTCAGCACATAGATTTACTTGGATTTCCCTGCCTTCTTCGCAGGCATTTCCACGCGATAAAAGAGAGCTGAGCGTGAAGCGCGATCGGCGTCTCGATCGGCAATAAAAGCAAGCCGTGCGCGGAGCGCGATCTGAATGAGCTGGGAACGAACGCACAGCGCGAGCGGGATGGGTGATCTTTTTTCGCCAACCTCGTACCCAGGGAAGATGAGAGACCCTGGGAACGAGGCTCCGTACGATAAAAGAACATGATGAAGAATTAGGCGGCTTTGCAATGATTGCAGGTGCACCGTAATAGCTACCTACTCCTTCAGAGATTCTTCTGTAACCTGTGTAACAGTCGCTTCTTTTCCGAGGTTGCGAGTCAGAGTAACTACTTTGCCATGTCAAACTGTCTTAGCTGTTACACCCTGCGGAGCTTCAAAGCCTCGCTCGGAACGTGAAACGACTACAGATAGCTGATTTCCGAGTGCTTTCCCCCTTCCGCTTCTTTTATTACTGTAGTTTTCTTCTTTTTGTCCGAATAGTGGACTGGGAACCAAGGGAGATCTGTCAGGACGTGGAAACATAGCCCCCTACAGCGCCCTAAGCATACGCTTCCTATTTCCTTCCTATTGCGTGACGCACCCAAAGAGCGTCTGTCAAAGCACGGGCATTTTTCACATCCCAGTGGCATCCGTACCCTTCTTTGGCTTTTATTAAGGCTCCTTTCACCCTTTCCCAAAACTAAACTCAGATGACAACGATGCAACAGCCGTTTTATGTCTACTTAAACATGCTTGCTTGTATGTTATGAGAATTTTAAATTGCCACTGATGACGTTGTGGACCATAAGCTGATAGGATCAATTGGGCACATTGTTGACAAGATCCAGAGGTGGAAAGAACAAAGAGCCTACAATGTCTTGTCCACATTGATTATGAAAGGATAACCGCTTACTTGAGCTTCCGGTTCCGGGTTCCGGTCGACTGACAGACCGGAAGTCGTGGGATAAAACCAACCAAGAGACGCTAAGTTCTTGTATAACAAAACTTTCTTTTTATGCTTTTATAGACAATGATATAAAACAATCTATACACAGACAATAAAATATTTTACATTTCTTCGTAGTGGAACGTCTCCCCTGAAAAATTTTACATTCCAGACAGTTAAGAAATCAAGAAATAAATAACTTAAAGGGGCCATGTTCAGTCTCCTAAAACAATGTTGTCAGGATTTTCTTTAGATGTCTATGATAATTTAGCTATACACTAAAATCTTCACGACTTTTTCACTACCTTCCTATACAGAAGAGTTTTTGGGCACCAGGCACAAATATTGTGATTGTTCAAAAACTTGACTGTATATTGAAAGAAGTTTGGTTTTGAGATTGAGGGTATAAATTATGGTCCATTACAAATCTACAGAGATTTGAATCCTGAAACCACAGCATACAAGACTGAGAGAAATTCAGTTTTACGATCCAAATTAACATGTCAAGTTTGATAGTCAAATATTGAACATACAGATGGCCAAGTCTGGTAATAATTAATAATAATAATTATCAATATCTTATTCACTCAACACTGGATNAAAAGTGGGCTTTGTTTTCCCCAGTAGCCTCTTCCAGGGTGTTCAGTTAGCTGGGGCGTGGCACGAAAAATGGCAAGCGAAAAATAGGGGAAAAGCAAGGGGAGAGAGAAAGTTCTATCACTTCCTCTCACCCTACTTCTCCCCTATATTTTTCACTCTGCGTTTTTCGCTCTCCATTTTTCCCTCTGCGCCCCAACTAACTGAACACCTGAAAGAGGCTATTTCCCCAGATGACAAGCTTGTGGCCTTGCATGGGCAACAAGAAGGTCCTAAAACTTATTGCTGTTTCTACACGCAAGTATAGGAAGGATTTTTCTTAGAGAATGACCTTGATTTTGCCAAATGATTTTTCAAATTATGTACTTTTAACTTGTCACTGGTAATGGAGGAAAAAGATTTTTGGCAAATGCAAAATTGTGGAGACATTTTTCACAACACCAAGGGATTGCCTAAAAACCTGACCTGCTATTTTGGATCTGAAAAACATGAAAAATTATATAAAATGATCACTTAAGAGGTAAAAATTATCAAGTCTAGACCGAAGAATGAAATATAGTGATATAGTAAGATTTACTTTTAAGTAGTGTTCTTAATTCTATTATCAGAATGCAAGTGATCTTTCCTTCACGATTTGTAAAAGGCAAACTTTGGCACTCTGATAGCTGGTCTTCATAGACTTCTCCACACAAAAGAATTTGCTCAAAGTCATCAACCAGCGTTAAGGGATAATTTTTAAATTCTCATGACCTTCTACCTGATTATTAATAATTGTTATTAATAATAACATTAATAGTAATTATTAATAATATTTAATGATAACTATTATTATTGCTATTATGCTGACAAGGTACATTCTGATAACTAAAAGACTCAAGGTTTACTAATCTTTGGTTGATTCTTGTTGTTTAAGCATGCATTTGATTGAGGGAAAGATGACTTGCAGACACAACAGACTATTTTATATATATCTATAGATGATTTACACAGACTAGTACACTAAGTAAGTTGCATAGTTTAAGTACATGTATTCTTTAGTAGCAGTATCAACTAGCAAACAGCAATATGAATAATGTCCTATTAACAAGCAGCAAAATAAATGTTTCTTTTATTTTGGGCATCTGGATTGATTATCAAAAATTGAAATCGGATTCAACTGGATTTTATCAACCAGAGGCATCATTATTTAAATCCTTTTTGTTTACAAAAGAACATCTTTTAAATTGTTGATAAAACAACTCTGCTGATGAGTAAAACCTCATTCATCTTCTTTAAAATAACATCTGGGAAAACTCCTTACTTCCTCATTACACTGAGGATGTGTAAAAACATTTTTGTAGTCTCTATGAGCAGACGTTTCCCTCTACCATTCCTCAAGTAATGATGACATCCAGAAATCTTCAAGCACCCACTAAATACAAATTTCTGCTACTGACAACAAACACCCATCTCCAAGGCAATCGGGTAATCTCGCATAGAAAAGGGACCAAGCATTATTTTTTAGAGGGGTGGGGTGGGGNGGGGGGGTTGGGCATTCTGGGGCATGAAATTTTTTTCTCCCCTTCAGGTTGTGCATGAGTTTTTTTGATGGTCGAGAGCTCCCTGGCTTGTAGAAAACTCTTGCTCCATTTTTTTTTCCTCATGGTTTCCCTTTCACAATTTTTTAAAGCAGTTTTTGCTGTGCAGGAATATTTTTTTTTTGGAAATTGCCAACTCCTCCTTCAAAAAAAATAATGGTCTGTCCTTGAGCAACATACATTATGAGCACTCAGTGTGATGACAACAGGACACTAAACATGCAGCTACAACATGCAAGACTGGTAATTAAATGAGGAAACCAAGTGGGTACTTTCAAAGGATTCTCTTCTCCATTGCAAATTAGTGAAACAAGGATTGAGGGAAGCTTCTGCTTATGAGATGATAAAATATCAGCTGCCTAACTCCCTTAAAAATTTTAAACACATTCTTATCACTGAAAAGTAAAGGGAGGGGGGACAGCCTGCCAAAATATCAACAATATAACACAAAAGTGTCTTATTAAATTATTTCTAATTAATTAGTTAATATAAATTTCTAAACATATTATTACACATGGTTACATTAATCCGCTTTGGTGCATAATACATTTTCAGCACTATAAGACAATTGCCTAATTGGCTTCCTACTAAAATAGGCTCTGTGATAATAAAATTTCAACTCTACAATAATAATTATTAATAATGTTACTGCTATGAGGTAGGCGTGGTGGCATTTGTTGACGTAATCATTGCTGTATTGCTTTCAATGTTGGCATCAATATTTTCACTTTCTGCATTTGCGGCATTACCAGATGGAGAAAGGTCTTGCGAGCCTCCACCACCAGCTAAGAATCTGACGCACTTCTTTTTCCGCCTAAAACAAATTAGTTCTGATGTGTGAGTCGCACTTCTCAGAAACCATAGTTTAATTGCTGTCACATAAACTAAGGATGTGGCACAATAAGCTGTTCAAGGTGGCTCCAACATTTAAGTTTGTGCATGAAACCCTACTGAACCCTACTCAAAAGCTACTGAAGAGCACTTCCGTGCGATACTGTTTATTATGCTGTACTAGGTGGTTCTAACTTCTAAGTTTGTGGATGAAACCCTAGTGTATGACCATTCAAATGAAAGCTATTGAGTAGTACTTTCATGTGGTACAAGGTGGTTCTAACTTTTTAGTCAGTGGATGAAACCTAGTGTTTGACTATTCAAATGAAAGCTACTGAGCAGTGTTTCCATGAGGCACTGTTTATATTGTAAAAGGCTGGGGACCAAACCATTGCATGTGACTATTTCAAAGAAAGCTACTGAGCATGTGGTGATGTCAGTCTTCAGTATGTTGAAAAAAACAGTTTTTTTCCCTCCCAGTTCTGACCTTGGAAGTGAAAGAGTTATGATTGCACAACCAGGCAGGATGCTGTTTATATTCTAACTGCAGGTTGCCATCACTGCATCATTTGTCATGTTGTCATAGTATCAAAATACACCCTGATAGAGATAGACATCACACATGGAAACTGGCCAAGACAAATAACAAGGAAAAAAGGTATTATAACCAAACAAGTTATGATACATGTTACATACCTGCATGGTTTACACCATTCGTGTTGTCTGTCAAGACCATATCTTGCTCGGCATTTTTTCGGATTTGTAATTTCTGCTAAAATAGAAAGCAAATAATTGTCTCCATAAATCCAAAGTTCAAAGACTAAACAGAAAGTTACAATGAGTGTAAGCATGAATAATCTTGATGGTGACGAGTGAAATTAGGAAATAACATAGAATCTTGACAAAATTAACACTGTGACAGTGAAATTATGTCAGTCTTAGCTTCACAAGTATACCATTTGATTACTTTAATAACATTTAGGTAAAAAATTACGCTTACAATCATAGGCTTTTGACTTGAAAGAAAAGTGTTACAGACCTCATAACAGACCTTGTTGTTTTAAATACAATAAATTACATTATTATATGGAGAAGAGTGTTTTACTGGGAACTAAAACANCAAGCTATTTCTGAGTCAACTGTACAAGTGTTAAGACTTATGAACATTGCCAAAGATGTCTGAAGATTTCACAGGACTTCAAAATAGGTCCTGAGTATATTTTTTTAATTTTTAAAATCCAACACTATTCCTTCAGTTCTCACAGTTTGTTTGAAATGAGCCAAAGACAAGCTCATTCCTAGGGCGTGCTGTTCAAAATGCAAGAATTTGCGACATGATTTACATGCCTTGAAAAATTCTTTTTCTCAAATTTTATTATGTTGAACAAGGTTCTCTTGAGATTCCAAATAGTGTTAAAAGTTTATTCAGATTCATTGGTTGGCCAGGTCACATCTGAGCCCAAATCAAATGACTGCCTTATACTGAATGAAACATTATGTTACCCAATAACAATAATTTAATATTATGAAGCTAACCACTTACATCTGTACAAGTTAGTGCTATTTATGCTAAATAGAGTGCCTTCAGGTTAAACAGAGGGTGTCATTTAGCAGAGTGCTATTTAGGCTAACTGTAGTGTTACTGTTAGTTTGGAAAAATTCTTGTATTTCTTCCCATCGTTATTTTACCATGTTCCAAAACCACTAAAAGTTGGGATATGCCACTCTTGGGGGGTACTCCCATATAAAAAGGACTGGGGTGCTCGTNCCGTGCTCATTGCCCCAAATGTATTGCTCCAGAAAATATCCATACCCCTCACACGGTGTTTTTTTTTGGTTTGTAACTCACCCCCCACCCCCCTCCACACCCTTCCTCATCCCACTGGGAACTCCAGGTTTAATTTTGGCTTTTTTGCATCCTTGGGGTAGTTATGGATATTTTCTGAAACCACACAATGTAACCTTTAAGAAATACATAAATCTACAGAGTCACCACTACTTATTAGAGATACTTTTCTGAAGTACACCTGCAAGCTATTTCTAAGTCAACTGTGTAAGTGTTAAGACTTATGAACATTGCCAAAGATGTCTGAAGATTTCGCAGGACTTCAAAATAGGTCCTGAGTATATTTTTTAATTTTTAAAATCCAACACTATTCCTTCAGTTCTCACAGTTTGTTTGAAATGAGTCAAAGACAAGCTCATTCCCAGGGCGTGCCGTTCAAAATGCAAGAATTTGCAACATGATTTACATGCCTTGAAAAATTCCTTTTCTCAAATTTTATTATGTTGAAAAAGGTTCCCTTGAGATTCCAAATAGTGATAAGAGTTTATTCAGATTCATTGGTTGGCCAGGTCACATCTCAGCCCAAATCAAATGACTGCCTTATACTGAATGAAACATATTATGTTACCCAATGACAATAATTTAATATTATGAAGCTAACCACTTACATCTGTACAAGTTAGTGCTATTTACGCTAAATAGAGTGCCTTCAGGTTAAACAGAGGGTGTCATTTAGCAGAGCGCTATTTAGGCTAACTGTAGTGTTACTGTCAGTTTGGAAAAATTCTTGTATTTCTTCCCATCGTTATTTTACCATGTTCCAAAACCACTAAAAGTTGGGATATGCCACTCTTGGGGGGTACTCCCATATAAAAAGGACTGGGGTGCTCGTCAGAAATGTTGAAAAGAATCCCTAAGAGGTACCAAGATCCTGTCTTGTGGGTGTGGCTTGAATTTTTTTTTTTTTTCACCCCTAAGAGGTAGCAATTCTAAAGCAACACACAAAAAACTGATAGTAACTCTTCTCGGCTCAATACCTTAAAAAGTAATGCAAAAAGTTCGTGCTGTGGACCTTTTGAGGCTGAACATTCCCAAGGGGAATTTTTTTAACTGTAAAAGGTACAACAACCAGCCCTGTCCTTTTTATACAGGGTCCCCTCCCTCCCCCAGCTGCTACTGACCTATCAGTGATGACTCAGACATTTGACTGGCATCTGTATTAGACTACAGTAGGTTTCAACTCAGAAAATGGATTTACTCAAGAAGTCCACTTACATGAGATGACGCATACAATACAACATGAAGGGGTGCCTGGAAAAAAGCCCTGAGTAACTTCTGATAAATTGTTAGAATCTCCTTCCAGATTGCCTTTATTCCCTTGTGAGACACCAGGAGAGGTTGGCATTTCATCAACAGTCACTTAAGTCCTTAATCCACACACCCCTTTGCATATGGTGAATGAGATGTTCAATTATTCATGAAAGGGTTTACCATGTGATAGTTATATAGAGAAGCACATTTACGAGGTGGTTACTTGACTGTCGCATAAGGTGGTTGAAAACTTGAGTATTAGTATTGCAAGTAGCGCAAGCAAGTCAAATTGTATTGTAAGTAGAATAAGTATCAGTATTGTAAGCATTGCTTTGTAAGTAATTAATGTAAGAAGTGTAAGTCTAAGTACTATAAATGGTGTAAGTGATTGTATTGTATCTACAAAGTACTGTAAGTAGTCCAAGTAACTCTATTAGCATTGTTAGTAGTGCAAGTAACTGCACTGTATTTGTAAGTCGTGTGAGTGGCAATTAAAAACAGAGTGGTTGAAAACTTTAACAGAAAATCTTGACATCGTAGGAATGAGAAGGTTAAATCCTAACCGAATGACTGTTAAAAGTACGAACGTTCAGCTAAAGCATTAAAGAAAATAGCGCAAGCCTTTCATTGGTTACACAGGTTATTACAACTTTTGCTCTTTTGAAAAATGAAAAAATTTTTAGGCTGCTTTTAAGTTTTTGGTAATGAAATTAAAAACTACTGCAGAACACGATTCATTTTTTCTTGTCGACAGTCAACATCGTTACAAGTTGTTTCCAACAACCTTCGTTGTATTCGTTCAAGATTGCTGCAACAACTCGGTAACAACTTGTCAGTCGATACAACTGATATACGAGGCAAAAGTCTGTTATAACCTCGGCGAATCAAGGTTCAGGCATGCAGCTAAAGGTGAATGCATTTTTGGATGTGTACGGAAAGAAACACCATGTCCTACAGTAATCTATAATTTGGCATTACCCTCTTTCCAAGAATCTGGTTGATCGCGGCGCTTTCTTTCAAAGTACACTCTGATACGACTTTCGAGCGCATGTCCTTCATATACAACATGAACGCATTTAGAGGTTTCTTGACGTGGCCTTTCATGTGTCCATCTATTCCACTTACTGCGGTATCCATTCCTGGGTGATCAGGCAATGCTGGAATACTCTGTGATGTTAATAAACTAAAAAAAAAAAAATACCACCTAAGAACATAAGAAGAGAGAACATCTCCTCACCTGTCATAGACATGGCAGTGAGACTACATAGTGGGCTTGTCCTGGGAGGGGGGGTACATGCTCAGAGAAGTTTTATACAGTGCCAGGTATGCACTACTAAACAGGTGTGGTTTACAAGCTTTTTTGTCTGGAACATGCAGGGTTTTAAGAAAAAGATCTCTTTTATAGTATGGATCAGGATTATCAATTTC